AAACAAATCATGGTTACCAAAGGGGAAAGGCAGGGGAGGGATAAATTAGGAGTTTGGGATTGACAGATACACACTAGTATATATAAAATAGATAAACAAGGACCTACTGTATAGCACAGGGAATTATAGTCAATTTCTTGTAATAAGCTATAATGGAAAAGACTCTGAAAACAAAGTATGTGTATGTATAACTGAATTGCTTTGCTCTACACCTGTAACTAACATTGTAAATCAACTGCACTTCAATAAAAAGTAAAATTTTTCAAAAAGTGCTTACATTGCCAAAACAAAGAAGGCTGAAGGATTACCGTGCTCCGTGGCATGAAGAATGTACATCGTGGGGCGGGGGAAGGCATTTAATAACCAGTAACAATGACATAGGATGAGAAGGCTGTGAGGGGAGGTCCCCCCTCCTCTGCGATGTCTTCTTGCAGTGCTCAGCCATCCAATGGAGAAGGAGCAGAGAGCTCCCCCAGGCTCTAAACCCAGCACTTAGTAGGCCCTCAAGAAGTATTTTTGCTTCAGAAAAGGCATTTGGGAGGGGACAGCCGAGATCATGTCATTCAAAAGTGATCAGAAAATTGAACAGGTGCTTGGCAACCTAGTGCAGAAAGCCAATCAAATGTTTGGGGCTCTGAACCTCAGTCTGCTTGTCTGTAAAATGATATTAAAATAGAGCAGGAATGCAGAGAAGCAAAGTTAGGGTATCTGGATATACTGTAGCTGAATGAGATTAAATAACGACTGACTTAGTGGGTGCTTAGTGTACGCAGGTAGAGCTCGAAGCATTTTGTGTGGATTTGCACGTTTACATCTCCCACACACAATGAGGTATGCACTTCTGCTGAGGAAACTGAGACTCAGCAGGGTTAGAGAACATGCTCAAGGTCAAATCATTTTTCGCCAGAATTTCAACCTACATCTGACCCTGTGGTTAGGTGCTCCAACGCAAACTGCTTCTCCTTAGCTCTACTGTTAAAATGCTGGCTGGACTCATGGAGCCAGGGTCTTTTTTGACATGGTGAGTTGGAAATGGGCGCTCACGTGGGAATGGGTCATTCGCAGGAACTGCCCATCACTTGGCAGCACCGTGGTACACAATCCAAAATGGACTCTCCAGAGATGCCACCAGCCTCTTCCCATTTGGCCAGCCTTTAAGGTGCCAGCCTGCTCTCCACCTCCAGGCCTCCCAGCTGAATAGTTCACTTACTGTTTCCCTTTTTAGGCATGAGTGTAGCCTGTGCTGCATTGTGCCTGCTTTTCCTGACCCCAAATACCCTCCAACTTTCTTTCCATCTCTTACATCCTGCTGTGTCCAACACCCCATCATTTCTGAAATCTTTTGCTCATCTAAACTGAGAACGAATATATTCATTGCTCAGATCAATGCTATGCTATGGCATGTACCAGCCTTTCCTCTGCTCCTTTCCTGGATATTGTTTGTCTTCTGCTTAAGGTGAATCATTGTTTGTTTTTTTCACATGTTATTGCTCTATTCCAAACGAAACTGTAAGCTTCTAAGGGCAGGGATCTTGTCCACTGTTTCTATGTTTCTTTATAGTGTCTGACAAGGTGCTTTGCTCAACAGATAGTGATTGTGATTGGACAGTGGACATCCCAGCACTATTGGTGACATCCTTATCTGCCTCCCTGCAAAATACCTTTTAAATGAACACAGAATCTCGATCAGCCAGTCTGGCATCTGGCCTCGGATGTGTCATGCCTTCCTCCACTTGACCATAATGACTTCAATTTCTCTCAAACAACTTTGTATTTTATATTCACTTCAATTAGCATTAATAGAACAATATGTTGCTCCTTTATAGAATCTTTCCTTGGAGAATGCAAAAGCACTTTATAAGAAAGTATTAATTATTCCCATTTTACAGGTAGGAAACCTGAGGCAGTCAGTGACTCAGTGGCAAAATTAGGACATGATTTTTCCCTCTCTGTCTTCAATTGTCTATGATAATCACTAGACCATGCTACCCCTTCTAGGTTAGGGTTAAACTACTCTTGAAACAAATGACATTCCTGGCTTTTTCAGCATCCTGACTGTCAATAATATTTGCTCTTTTCCTGCATTATAAAGGTAGCATATTCTCACGTAGAAATCATATAAAATACAGAAATATGAAAAAAGATAAAACTTACCCATAAATTCATCGTCCAGAGACACCCACTGTTAACATTGTTGTGTTTTCTTTTGGCTTTCTTTATATGTATGTGGAACATGTTAATCTTTGTAGTTGAGCTCACTGTGTATCCTGTTTTTCTCTTTTTTTGGGGGGGTGTAATTAGATTTGTTTATTTACTTAATTAATTTTTTAATGGAGGTTCTGGGGATTAAACCCAGGACCTCACGTATATTAAGCACACACTCTACCACTGAGCTATACCCTTCCCCTCTGTTTTCCTCTTAAATAATAAACATTTTCCCATGTCTCTATATATTTTACTAAACATAGTTTTTAATGGCTACACAATACTTCGTCATTTGTTTAACAATTTCTGTATTGTTGGACATGGATGCTGTTGCATTTGGTTGGGTTTTTTTGGGTTTGTTTTGTTACCAGAAATACCTCTGGGATGAAAATATTTGCATTTTATTCTTTAACATTTATGCTCTCCAGATTGTATGTGTGTGAATATTTTAATACGAAAAAATTGTCACTAGATTAGAGGCCCACTTTCCCGGTTCTTCCTTCTGTCTCACACACACACAAAATTCTGACATCCTGTAAGATTCTGCTAGCCCTTAAAATCTCTAAAGATATCATAATATGGATTCTCAAAGCTGACACTAAATCAAATATGTAATGAGAATGAAGCCTGAAAGGAATGAAAAAAGTTTTTTACTCACTGCTGGATATATCAGCTTCTCTATTTGCCACTGGAACAAGCTTGCAAAATCTTACCAACCACACTTACCCAGAAAAAAAAATAACATACAGTCTGACAGTGCTTATGACCAAAGAAAATCTAATTACACTTCATGAAAACAAATCTTCATTCAACTCCAACTGTACAACTGCAGGGATGTGTCATAAAAGATCTTGTGGAGAAAGAAAACAATATTTTGCTTCATGTCATGAATACACGTTTTAAAAAACTGCGTCTCAGCCCTGTGTGTCCTGGCATCAGGGACTTAATTGTGTGTTTAAAATATTGGCTGTGCTGTACATCAGAAGTTGAC